TATACATCCTTGCAACGGTTTTATCGATTTGATTGACGTTTTAGACACGTCACAGTGCTAAAACATTTCAAAATGTAGGACCTGTAGTATACTTGAGACTGACAGGACTAAACGTCACTAATAAACGTCACTAAACGTCACTAATAAACGTCACTAATAAACGTCACTAATAAACGTCACTAATATAATAAACGTCACTAATAAATAACTTTCTGAAAGGTAGCTTCGACTGAACTAATGAAATGCCATCCTCGATATCTAGGGGTTACGCTCACTTTCGCTCTCTACACCCCTGGAATATGTCATAGCAAAATTGAAGACACGAAGATAGCTTTTTGATTGGTCTCAGGTAAAAAGACCCTGACCAATCGCTAGGCTGATACCTGTCCTTTGAAGATTGCAAAAGAAAGACGCCCGACTTCGAAGCCTGTCAATTTCTACCGTTGCGTGCGCGCGAGATTCTTTTGATGTACATCAAAGTATCGAACTAGTCTTCTTGTCTCATCAAAAAGGTGGCGAACACCGAACCTTCATTTTTGCTATGACATATTCCAGGGGTGCAGAGAGCGAATGTGAGCGTAAACCATGGATATCGCGGATGATGAATTGCAAAACCTTCAATGTTGATGAAACAAAAGGACAATCACAACACTGAATGAAATGTAATCTTTCGTAAGTGAGCTGTGTAGAAAATCAATGCTTTTTTACAGTCAATATATATTATCCAGCGAATAACGCTACACTTACACCGTACCGTAGAAACGAAAGGAACATACAGTAAGACTTCTTAGCCAGCTGTGCCACATTAAGATAATGTCTGTTTGGGATTCTGAAGGAATTTGTCAAGTCCAGGTTAAAGTCATACATGTCTTCGTTCGCTCCTCAAAATAGGCTTAATGATTATCATCGGCATTACAACAGTTCGACGAAATACAAAATTATAATTGATGACCTTAAAAAAACTCCACCATTTTCAAATGATACGGTATTCGCTTCTTCTCTGTATTACAACATCACAAGCGGATTCTATTAAAACTCATCCTAATGACATTTGAAACTAGCTTGGAGACTTCAAAACACTTTTGCTGATGTGGTACAAAGTCGATTTTTAAACCAGTTCGTACGTAATTTATAAATGCCAACGTTTGCCAACATGAGGATAGATACACTACATCTCGTATTTCGTACATGTCATACTGTTATTCTGCACTTATTGCTCCCAAGCCTCACAACTACAATCTAACGTCTTCGTTATCTTATAAGGACAACTTTCAAATTGCACTTCGTTTTTTTAATTTGTCAAACGGCAATGTATGAAGATTAATAGAATCTATCGCTACTGGTCGTGTAAGATAGAGAAATCTCAACCCGAGGACTAAGATTTTTTTGTCCAGAACGAGGCTTGCCGAGGTCTGGACAAAAAAATCTTAGTCCGAGGGTTGAGATTTCTCTATCTTACACAACCAGTAGCGATTGATTATTTTTCTCCCATATCTAACAGTATTTTAATGTGAAACAAAGGTAAACATGGACCCGAAACACATACAGGCAATTTGTTGATGGATTGTTGACGTGACGTCATTGTATTGTTGAAGTGACGTCATGCCATTGTTATGAATAGGGGAATCCCCCCGTCTCAACCCTAGGGCGGAGACAGATAAATCTAGCACCGGCAAAACGGGAGATAAATCTGTCAGGTGTGGGAGAAATGGCAATAAACAATTTTGGAACATAATTTGTGAAAAGCACGACAAAGAACAAAATATAATAAATCTATGATGAAATCACTAGCATGATTGACTTATTGGTATCTTTGAGTTCAGTTTGGTTTGGTTTGTTTGTGTTTTACGACCTATCAACAGCTATGGTCATTTAAGGACGTGCCAGGTTTTAGAGGTAGAGGAAAGCCGGAGTTCCTCGAAAAAAACACCATCGACCTACGGCCAGTACTTGGCGACTGTCCCACGTAGGCCTCGAACCCGCGGCCCAGTGGTGGAGGGTTAGCGGTAGAAAAATGTTAGACGCCTTAACCACTTGGCCACTGCGTCCCCTTATTTGAGTTCGGAAGCAATATTTTCCAGGTGACATTAGGCATTGCCATGCGAACAAACTGTGTTCCTTTTGGTCGAAATGTGTTTTTTTGCAGTTAAGGCTGACCTTACTGAAGAGTATATCTGGTCTAGTAACAAAACCCCATTCCTTCAATTTCACTTTCAGCTATATCGACAATGTGCTACCTTTAAATAACAGGAAATGTATTGACCACGTTGAAAGTATTGAAGAACACTACAGATTCTTGTTCATCAGATGACCTACGAACTAGGTTGTGATAAAATGGTATATAAGAACCTCGAATTATTATTATTATTATTTTTACAACATAACCAACACAACTAATTGCTACGCTGTATAAAATGAGAAAATGATTATGATTTTCCTGTCGTAAACTTTTCCTTTCTTCATTGTAACACCCCTTCTTTCCAAATCTACGGTAACTACGTATACATGATTCAGTTGATTCGGAATTCATGAACTTGCTTCGCAAAATTATCATATGATGAGATGAAAAGGAAGCACCTAATTGAAAGTCCTGTTTGTAGATACAGAAAGCCGATTAGTAAACATTTACAATTTGTCCATTGAGGACCACTCCTGCAGTTGGGGGATCGAGAAAAGAATACACCTGCTGTTACCCACCGCACGTATCGTAAGAGGCGACTATTGTGGGAATCCCCCTCCAGAGTTGGGAATTTGCTTTTGTGCCCTCTACTTGGTGACTAAATATGCTGCACCAATTGCAATAGCTGGGATATTTATATTTCTCTCTACCTCTAACTACCTTTAATTTCCTAGCGCCTTGCTTGGCAATACTTCGCTTTTGGCTTTAATGTTGAAAGTTCGCCCAGGTGAGGAATTAAGGCATTGGATTCTGTCCGCAGGCCGGGACATACCAAAGTCCTTCAAAATGGTAGTTGTTATTCTCTGCTTAACGTTCAGCATTTAGGATAATGGCAACAACTGGTTCACCCGTTGTCAGAACTGATGACACAATGTTGATGTGTACCAAAATCTCTCATTGATATCCCCTTGATATCACAACACACGATGTATGTGGTCTTTCAGAACCCAGTCCTATAGTTACTGTACGCAATATGCATGTATATTAATAATCTGCATAGGAAGACTTCAACGTAAAGAAACAATATTACAACCGTCTGCAGACACATAAATTTACTCAGTATTAACGTTTTTACACGAGAATTGGTAGGGGAAGGCCGTATGGTGACAGGTATGTTTATATTAATATCTTTTTTAAATATGGTGCGTCACATACGATTACGCTGATAATTAAAACGATATTTACGTATTTTCTTGACGGAAATGGTAAATTAGAAGTTGTTAGGGACATATATCTCAAATTTGCTTTCCTATTGTCATTGTTTCAGATATATGTAGGAAAGTGTTGGTCACTTATCATAATACTGCTATATTTTTCATGGGACATATTTGTTCGGATTAAATCAAGGGAGTTGAAAAGCTAAATATCCAAAGACGCCATCACTATAATAAGTAACGAATTTAGATATTACATTGTCCAATCGCAGATCATTAGAATTCGTGGTATTTTCAAAGACAGTTTGCGGTTTTACAGATGAAAGGCGAGAGAGAATGTACATGTTAAGCACATTGAAAGTTTTCGTTTTCTACGAACTACAATATTGTTCCCGAAATTAACTAATGTACGGGGAACAGTAAAGCATTGATTAAAGTACGTAAACAGCTCGTTAAAAGTAAAGCAACAGTTCGCAAATAGGATAACGATTATAAGTTCGCCGCGCAATTTTTAACAAAATAAGATTTCATGGTAATTAAAGGAACAATGCACGCTTTATATCACAAACCGTCCTGGAAATACGTAAAAACAAGATAACCAATTATACATCTTCCCTGTGCACACGATCGTTACGTCAAAGACCATATTAGGACAATCCATATTACAAAATGTATCAAAAATCTGTCGGTATTCCGCGGGTTATAGTTAACAAACAAAGGATTTACGTTCGGCCATAACGGGAAATCGGCATCGAATGAGATATGTCAAAAGACATTCAGAGATTTGGTAGACTGTGAGAGACATAAGAAATTACACAAACAATTGTAAAATATGCTAAAAATAAATTAGAAAACGCCCACGACAATCAAAATTGATTACGTACAGAAACCCCTAGGAATTCGACAACGGTATTAAATAAGTCCGTGATGTGACGGAATAATGACATAGTGACATATGATATTAGGCCTGTAATTCATGAACATACATTTTTTTTTTTTTTTAATTTTATCAACGACAGTAACAACTAAATTTCAGGATAAGGAGATTCTATTTCATATATTGAATCTGTCAGAAACACTTTTATCATAATGTAGTTTAAGGATAAAATCTTTAAATGACAGACTAAACTCGGCAAGGGTTTTCATTACTAAATCAAAAATTTACCTCAAGATATAGTTTCCATGCAGATTAAAGAGGATTTTATATTTCAAACACTTGTGGCTTGAAAAGTATAACTATGGAAATTAATTCAGTACATATATCAATTCCTGTAGCTATCATTACCAGCACTTGACTGATACAACAGCAGGCTAGGTAACAACTGCGTCAGAGATCTTGCACGATATATATGGTTTGGTTTGATTTTGTCCGTCCTCGATATCCAGGGGTTACTTTCACTTTCTCCCATGGCACCCACCTATATAGTCTATGTAGGCCTGATTATTATCCCTTTAAAACATTCTTGACGGGGGCGAGATAGTTATTTGCAAAATTCCTATCAAAGACTTCTAGACAAGTATGACGTGTTTGTTGATAAAAGATATGCCATATTTTAGCTAATTTCTTACAACCTGGGCACAAAACCTTTTGAAAACAAAAAACTGAAATGTGGAAATCGAGCCCCTGTGTGCACATGTTCGTGTAAGCGTCTTTGGGACTCAGATGAAAAGAAACAACATGGCTGTCACAAGTAAAGGTTATCAAGGCACAGTATGGTTCCAGAGGGAATTTGCTGTTTCTTCAAAAAAAAGAGGATGTCATCTCGTAACAGACGAAGTACTAGCTAATGTTCCAGAAATTGCAAACATGAAAATTGGATTGCTGAACCTCCATAGTTAGTAAAGCTCAAAAAACCTTTCAAACACCATCTGACACGCTACCATGTGATGTTGATGTTAAAAATGACTCCTATCAAGCGTAATGTCCTTGTTTTGATTATTACCTAGCCTATCACAGTGACACGTTTTCTTCACATGGTTACCTTTTAGTGGTATAGTTCTGACAAACTCGCCTAAAAAAGTATTTAACTCGTTGGTGGATTTACATGTACATGTAATAGAAACTTACAGTGTACCGGTGTCGCCAGGGCGGGCCTCGTGGGCTTACATCTGTCTCAGGAGGTTGTCCAAACTGGACACATTTTGTATAGAAATGGTTAGAGAAAACTTTAACAAGTCTCCGAACACACGGCTCGTCTGGGTGTGATAATTAAAAGCATTATTGTGTACATGTCATCAACAAAGTTATAATCTGAATGTATGTTTTACAAGTTTCTTAATGTTGAGTCCATTTTGACAAGTATTGCCTGAATGCTGTGACCTAATTTGTGCTACAGACAATCCTGCCATCTTTAGTGACACTACACATTCAACTGTCTAATTATAATAGAGTCGTTTTTTTAGGTGACAACTAGCTATATGTAGTACATAATTAACAGTGACTTTTGAACTTCCAAATTCTGTTGTGCAGAAATACTGTGCAATGAATGTTAAAAATGTTTTTTTTTATGCTATGTAGTAAAACGAGAAATAGTGATAAAGATAGTGCCGTCGCTGGGGCTCGAACCCGCAACCCTTGGCTCTCCAGCCCGATTCCTGTTAGCCACTAAGCTAAAGGGAAATTCCCTACAGCTTACACTTGTAAAGCAACCTGATAAATGCACATCTTTTACAGTTAGATAATCTGATTATTCATAATATGTGTTTGTGCCCATTTGAAACAACAAAGAGTGAAGGGATAATATTGATAATTATGCCGTGTGCAAACCTAGCTCCCCTATTGTAGATGGAAATAACTGATTTTCTACATTAATATTTTTTTTAATGGAGCAAAGCTTGTTATTTTGGACTACCCAGTTGATTGGGGACCAAATCCCTTAAACTAATCATCAATTTCTCTTGTTGTTGTTCTCAGTAAAATATGGCATGTATGTGAATTGATTGATGCCAAATGAAAGATAAACAACTATGAATGTATTGATAACACTTATGTTTAATTATTCTAAACAGGAGGCACAGTAGTCAAGTGGTAGGACGCCGGGCTCTAGACCGAGTCACGGCACAGCACTGTGTTGTATCTTTGAGCAAGATACTTTACTCCGCTTGTTCCAGTCTACTCAGCTGTAAATGAGTATGTGGTTGGGCAGTGATAGAATTGTTGAATGCTAGCTGTGATCGCCGAAATGGCAACACCGGCTGTATGCTCCCTAGGGAGTTGAGAAAGATATTGGCTGGTTGCAAAGGCCCTATAACCATGGATAATAATGTGTGAACCGCTTTGAGACAACCTACGTACTAGGTTATGATGAAGCCGTATATAAGAACCTCAAATTATTATTATCATTATTATAAACAGGAGTTATTTATTTTTACGTTTAATGGAGATAATTTTAAATTCAATAACATTTTAAGTCTAAGGTAGTGTGCTACTACTGTGTGCCCATAAATAGCTGATGATATTTAATTGTTTATAAAAACAATATTTTGTTTTTCAGTAAAACATACATCGGCCAGTCTGTGTTTAAATGAGGTATGTACAGTTTTCAGGTACCTTAATATTTAAATAGTAGTTGAGTGTCTTTATTCACTATTGGGTGAGTGTAAACACCTTTTTAGGTCTGCAACAAATGTCATTTTAGTCGGATTGTTTCATTCCGACTTAAGATTCAGGAAAAATACTAGAGCTTCACGAATGAGTTTTTGGTTTTGTTACGTGAACTGAAGTATTGTTTTGAGATGTTCGGAAGATTATTATAATTCAATATTTTCAAAATTAAGACTATATAACCTATGAAAGCTTCGATCAAAAACCGCCACTTGATGTAATTAATGGACTAGGTCGAATGCATGGTGAGTGCCAAGATACCTCTGAGATCTCTTGTTTGCTCATTGCTAATATACCTTAATTTATTGCAAAACCCACCATTGTTTTGCTGAGTTTTTGATTGTTTGATAGAGTATTTAAAAACATGCATGTGTTCTTTTCCCTAAAAATATGGAAAAAAATGATAATTACTAAAGAAACAACATCATGCTGTAATGCCTCGCTAAGATCTCCATACATGAAATCCAATCTCCCTACTTTAAAATACAAATCCCCCCTACATTTTGTCGTCACATGAATGTTTACCATAAAACTTGTGTTGTTTGTTTTTCAGAACTGGGATCCAGATGTGAGGTAATCTAACAAAGTCATGCCACAAAATACTCCATTGACAGTCAGTCATTGCACAGCTTCTACAAAAATATATTGTAAAAAAATTAAGTTCAAATATTTGTTGTTTCTAACACAAACTACGTACTTCATAAGGAGAGTAATGGAAGCATCAGATTTATTCAGACCGTGTTATATTTTAAGGAATGTAAAAATCAAAACTAGTACAAAGGCATCCCTGTTATTCTAATGGAAACATTTTGTTATCTTTTAATAACAATTTGATCTGTCTTCTCTGAACAAATGACGTTTTCCATTCTTCCTCAAGTATCATAAAACCAAGGGTAATGATATTTGATTTGTAGCGGAAATATAGGGATATCTAACCTATTAAGACCTTCATTTAAGATCCCAGAGGTCAAATTATGTTAAAATCTTAAACGAGTTCTTCTCAAGAGAAAACCATTAAAGATCTCTGTACCACTTCCAAACCTGGATATAACTGTAGCACCGTTTGGCTAGGACAGTTCCGTTGACTGGCTAGCTCAATCGGTTAGAGATATAGTATAACAGTCTGAAGTCACAGGTTTGAATCCCAGTCTAGCTCCACTGATATTTGTTAGTCAAAACACTGATGTTGATTATGTATATATTTTTTTTTTGTCTTTCTTATTTCTCATAAAAGTCCCACAAGGTATTTTTCATTTATCTATTTTTTATAAAAAGCTATTATAGTTTGAAAAAACAGTTTCCAGTAATTAGTGACAGTTTTTGGCAGTGGTACGGGGATCCTTAAATAATTTGTTTTACATTTCCAGAGTTGACATGGAGATGATGCTGAACAAACTGGTGCCTGATGTAAGTTAAGTGATCCTGTAGTAGCTTTGGATAGTTTAAGGGAGTATGCCTCCTTACATTTATGGGTTAGAGTTATTTCCCTTTAAACATATTTAATTGATGAACAACAATTGATTTTCATAGGGGGGAAAACTCTCAGTAGTACAAGACGTCAAAACAATGTCCAAAGCCAAGTCTCACCAAATACCCATATGCTGGTCCTGTTTAGAGAAACTGCTGACTGTGCTGTGGACATTGTTCTGACATCGTGTCATTATGACGTCATATATTCAAGGAGTCAATATGGCGGCATAATTTTTGATAGCCCGAGTTTCTTCTGGCCCTGACACCAGACTTAGACATTTTGACAGATAGATGTCTGGTGTGGGGCCAGAGCGCACTACTTTATAAAAACGTGGATTCGCCGACACCGTTTGGTATAAGGGAGTGACTAATCAACAAATAAGACATGGTCCAGAAATCTTTTTAACAAGAATAATATTGTCCGTTTTCGGTCCGGATCAGTACGGTTTGTTGATTAGTCACATCCTTCACCTGCAAAATGGTGTTTGCTCAGGTGGGAAATTTGAAATAATTGAAAACCGATGACTCTACTGAAGGAAGTTAGCAGCTATTGGTGATAATAAGAGCAGATTTGAATAAAAAAAAAAATCCATTTATCGATTTATATGAGGTATGTGTTGTGTCATAGTAGATTTTTGTTGTCACCATCTCAAAACCCCCTCGATACCAAAGGTTAGTGGAGAATTCCACGTTTTCATAAAGTAGTGCACTCTGGCCCCACACTAGACATCTATCTGTCAAAATGTCTGGTGTCAGGACCAGAGGAAGCTCAGGCTAAATTTTTGTGTATCATTTCCTTTTCTTCCAAAGAATTGAGATAGATGTAACTCAAATCTATCGTTGATGACTGAGGGTAACCATTGTTTTATCATTTAATTAATAGTTATGAATTATCTGAGTGTTTATCAATGCATGTACGTGGACTCCTGGCTCGTGACCGAAGGGTTGCGAGTTCAAGTCACGGCATGACACTGTGTTGTATCTTTGAGCAAGATACTTTACTCCACTTGTTCCAGTCTACTCAGCTGTAAATGAGTATGTAGTTGGGCAGTGCTATAATTGTTGAATGCTAGATGTGAGCGTAGAGATTGCAGCATCGGCTGTATGCTCCCCAGAGATTTGAGAAAGATATTGGCTGGTTGCGAAGGCCCTATAACTACGAATAATAATTTGTGAACCGCTTTGAGACGACCTACAAACTTGGTTGTGATAAAACGGTAATTTTGATCTTTTCTACTTGTTGATGTAATTGAAGGAGAGATATGACTTACCACATGTTAGAACTATACACAATATTGTGCAAGTTACTCCAGTTTCAGGAATACTTTCTCTTAAATATTTTATGTCAACCCTGTCTGCTGAGAAAACTTGCATTGTTTTAATGATCTCAATATTCCTCACTTGGCTATTCTCTTGAAAGTGTTTGTCCAGACACTTTACTCGGATTGCTTTAGTCTATCCAGCTGTATAAGTAGGTACTGCTACCAGCACTTGTGGGAAATAGTCTAGTGAATGACTGATGTTCTTCAAAATAAGAGGGATCACTGAAAGCCTTGCTCTATTCCTAGTACTTGTGGGCCCCTGAAGTCAGAAAAAGTGTGCATTATACATACACATACTTTATTGCTATATTGATTAATTTGTTCTTTGTTGTCTGTTGACAGAGTACACCTTTCAAACACTCCTGTGAGGGTCCGGATGACATGGTAAGAACATTCACGTTACAAATCAAAACGCGAAAACAACTGTTAGGGCAAATAAAAAATGTCTGTTTATAAATGGTACCTATAAACATGTACCTCTGCTAGTTTTCACAGCCAATCCTAGACCAATATTGGTAGTCAGGATTTGTGCTTCATAGTAGATACAATATGTAAAAAAGTGTCTGAAAAAACTGTTATGCCTATAGCATTAATAAATCATTTCTGAAAAGAAAACCATACCTTGTGGGACTTTCATGAAAACTAAAAGATATGTAATAAACATAATATTATCAACAAGAGTATTTTGTGTGTAAAAAAGTTAACGTGGTCAGACCATGAATCGAACCATGGACTTCAGATTGTTACTGTTCTATCGCTCTAACAGACTGAGCAACCTTGTCAACAGAGGTGCACTGGCCCAACTGTGCTACAGTTATATCCAAAACGGAAGTTAAGGGGAGGTTACTGTACATTAATGTACGGGAAAAATACATAGTCTAGTGGGACTGAGATCCGTAATGATGTGGTCAGACTCTGATCGAAAAAACATTTATGTTCTCTGTTTCCGCAGCCAGCACATGTAAAAGCTGCATTTCTCGGGGCGTCGGTCAACGTGCCTCTGACAGAAGGGAAACTGAACCTGGGTACTTGGCAGGGGATTTGGTTGTGTGAGCACCGCAATCATGCAGGTAATATATCAACAGTACTTGTTATGGATAGGGTTGGGTTGAACAAATTATTTCACAGGTTTACTTTACAGCACAAATCACTTAAGTTATTGGTCTCATCAGGGCGATATCTATTTCATATAGAATATCTATTATCTTTACAAATTATGCATCACAAAAAAGTCTCCATGAAGAAAATTAACTCTTACTTTAATTTGACTTTTGCACCAAAAAGTTTAAATGTCTAAATTTGTTTAATATGAAAAGGGTTTTGGAAATATCCCTGCTTTACAGCAACAGTACGAATGGTTCAAAATCAAATTTGATGATGGTGCAAGGGAAGTAACCCTTACTTCATTCAAAGTCTATCAAGTACAAATTTGTAGTTATTATCTAGCTGTACACGTCATGGCTTCATTTTTCCTGGCCAGTAGTTAATTAGACTGTGAAGTTTCGTCCAACTTGTAAGACAAATATTAAAAAAACAGTGGCCTTTGAACATCTACAACCATGTAAACATAGCTGAAATATCATGATTCAATTAACGGGAAATTAAAATGTTGTTATTTATTGCTTGACATAGTGCAAATTATTACAAGTGTAATAATTGATTACTTTTTATTTCATTGCAGGGAAAAGAAATCTGGTTGCTACACTACAAGGAGCTTTAAAATGATCCAAAATTTATTTTAAATTTTTAAGAAAAAAAACATCACTAATTGCAACAACTTAACCTCAACTTAGTAATTATGAAAACAGTGCTATTGCTAAGCATGATGGCCAGTGTTCCCAGAATCAACCAATGCCGTTTGATGACACACTTCCACACTGTTGATCTTCCAGGACTTGTGAATAATGCCAAAGTTTGGCGCTGTGTTTTCTACATACGATGCTAATGTCAGGCTTTGATGTGGCGAGTAATTCCAGCATGTTGTTTGAACATTGCCAATTTTTTAACGTCTTGTTCCCGAAATGTTACTGTTGATAAAAGAATTATGTGCGATCTTACACATTAGACTTGATAGATGTTTTCTAAATGCTGCAGAAATATCTACATTGTTTCAAGTTAGAGAAAAGGGAGAACAATTTATTTAGATGATTCGCAATATTTTCCAATCTGAAGAAGGTAACAATTCCCAATCCAGTAATACCCTGACCTAAGTGATGGTACTGTATACAGTCCGGTATTACTATTTAACTGGCAATCATTTAATTATCTGAGTTCAAATTACCAATCATATAAGGTTCTAAGATTTTCTTAAATTGGAACTCTTTTAAGAATGAAATTCATGTTATATAAAGGTATCATATACATTTAAGGTGTTTGTTTGCATTTTCATCGACTGGGTCCTTTGATAAACCAAGGGGACTTGGTCTGTAGAAAGAGGTAAAAATAGTAACACATGGGGTAAAATACTAACAGGAGTAAATGGGGGAGGGAGTGGTAAACAGTTTTTATTTTCTGAAAGTCGTGTTTTAACAGCTGTTTGGTCTCCACAGATCTAACGATCCTAAGACAAAGGTGTAATCATAAATTCCTCAGTTTAGCTTGATGATAAATGTTTCCTCTAGTCTCATGTTGACGCAAGATGAAGCCAAGAAGAATGGATGAATACAGCAGTAAGACTGCAGGCAGTTCCGTATTGTTTTCATTATGCTTCCCTTTAAACAAATATATGGTTGTCTGTTTGTTGGTATGTGTCTCCATGTCCCTATGTGTCCAAAATAAATGGTTTCAGGGGAGAGGGAAGGTCTACTGGTTTTTGGGTCACTAGGTCAGAGGTCATGGTCACATCGGCTATTAGACTCAAATTTTACGATTTTTTTTTTTTAATTAAAAGATTGTTATAAAAAAACCAGAAAGTTGGTTTCTGGATGTCGTTGAATGTTACAAAATATGTAACCAAAATTTTGTAACTGGTGCCCCTTGGGAAGAGGAGAATTCCTATTGATTTTAGGGATACTAGGTCAAAGTTAAAGGTCACAGCACCTATAAATGTATTGATTCTGGAGGTTATGGCTTGAACAGTTTGTCAGGTCTAAACTAAAGCTAGATGGATGTGGTCCCTTTGGAAGAGGAACATCTCTATTGACTTCGGGTTATTGGGCTACAGGGTGACAGATATCTGGGTTTTTTTCTTGAATTTGAACAAATATTTACTGTCAGCAATATAGAGGGGTTTTTTTTCAGGAGAGCATTTGTGAGTTCTTCTGACTTTATTTTTAGTTTTAATAGTTACACATCATAAAACTGGTCATTTGTTTATGTTAGAGAGACATTCAGGTGTTCACTCTCAATTTTGACTTTAACTTATATTTAATAAAAATAGAAACGATGTCTGAAGTGAAGAAATTTTAAATTGATTAACTGATCAAGATATGGTCATTTTAATTACGTTTTAGATAATTTTAATTTTTTTGTCATATTGTTTCTCCCCTATGAAAAGTTAAGTATAAAAATGCATGTTTGTCAATATCTTTTATTCACCTGGTTATTTTGTGCAGCAAATTCCCAATTACTGTAGAATGGAATTTCCACACATGGAAATCTTCATGTTGCAACTCTTTACAACTAATTGCAATGTAGAAAATTGTGTGGTGGTGGTGGTGGTGGTGAAATCCATATAGTCAACATATTAAAAAAATTATATAATTAATTAATCTATCAACAAATTGTTACATGTGGATATTTTCGCACTTTTTTACTTGAATTGAAATGCGCCAGAATGTCCACACCGCGAAAATGTCCACTTTTACAGTAAATTTTAATATGAATAAATTATTTAAATCATTGCTCATTGTTTGTTTATTTTCAATTTTATATCCCCTTTTCACTTGTTAGTTTTTAGCTAACCTGGCTCAGAGGGCCAAGTGAGCTTATGCCGTGGTGCGGCGTCCCGCGTCAATATTTTACTTTAAACACCTTCTTCTTAATAACCAAGAGGCCTAGGGTGATGTTATTTGGCCAGAAGCCTGCTGGGATGAAGGGCTACCAAGTTTGTTCAAATAAATGACCTTCACCGGTATTCGATGTCACAGGGGTCAAATATGTTAAAAAAATTAAACAACTTCTTCTGAATAGCCGAAATGCCCAGGGTGATGATATTTGGTCAGTAGCATGCTGGGATGAAGGGCTACAAAGTTTGTTTAAATGAGTGACCTTGACTTATATTTAAGGTCTCAAGGGTCAAATATGTTTAAAACCTTTAAACATTTTCTGAATAACCAAAAGGTGCAGGATGATGATATTTGGCCCATAACATGATGGGATGAAGGGCTACCAAGTTTGTTCAAATGAATGACCTTGAACTATATTCAAGGTCACAGGGGTCAAATATGTTTAAAATCTCTAAACCACCTCTTCTGAATAACCAAAATGCCCAGGATGTTGATATTTGGTCAGCAGCAGACTGGGATGAAGGGCTACAAAGTTTGTTTAAATGAATGACCTTGACTTATATTTAAGGTCTCAAGGGTCAAATATGTTTGAAACCTTTACAATTTTTCTGAATAACCAAAAGGTGCAGGATGATGATATTTGGCCCATAACATGATGGGATGAAGGGCTACCACGTTTGTTCAAATGAATTACCTTGATTAATATTCAAGGTCACAGGGGTCAAATATGTTTAAAATCTCTAAACCACCTCTTTTGTATAACCAAAATGCCCAGGGTGATGATGTTTGGCCAGTATCATGCTGGGATGAAGGGTTACCAAGTTTGTTCAAATGAATGGCCTTCACTTATATTTAAGGTCACATGGGTCAAATATGTTTAAAATCTTTAAATGACATCTTCTAAATAACCAAGAAACACAGGGTGTTGATGTTTAGCCAGTAGCATACTAGGATGAAGGGCTACCAAGTGTGTTCAAATGAATGACCTTCACTAATATTCAATGTCACAGGGGTCAAATATGTTTAAAAAAATTAAACGACCTCTTCTGAATAACCGAAATGCCCAGAGTGATGATGTTTGGCCAGTATCATGCTGGGATGAAAGACTACCAAGTCTGTTCAAATAAATGACCTTCATTCATATTCAAGGTCACAGGGGTCAAATGTCTAAAAAAAACAAAAAAACTTCTGAATAACCACAATGCCCAGGATGTTGATATTAGGTTAGTAGCAGACTAGGATGAAGGGCTACAATGTTTATTTAAATGAATGACCTTGACTTATATTTAAGGTCAGGAGGTTCAAATATGTTTGAAACTTTTAAACAACTTCTTCTGAATAACCAAAAGGTGCAGGATGTTGATATTTAACAAGTAGCGTGCTTGTATAAAGGGCTTTCAAGCATTTTAATTTGAATAACCTTGACCCACTTTCAAGGTCACATTTGGTCAAATATGTGTAAACATTTAAATGACCTTATCTTGATAAACAAAAGGATAGGGTGGTGATATTTTGCAAGTTGCATCCTGAGATGAAGGGCTGTAAAATGTGTTCAACGTAATGACCTTATTGGACTTTTAAGGTCACAGGGGTGAAATGGTTTGTAAATCTTTTAACAGGTTCTTTTGAATGACTTATAGTCATAATTACTGATATTTTGCCTGTAGCTTTTTTAGATCAATTTTAAGGTTACAAGTGTGAGATTTAGACCAGGTGAGCGATGCAGGCCCATTAGGCCTTTTGTTATATGTAATACCTTCTTTTGATGTGTCTCCATTTATTGCATGACGGAGATTTACGTCCCTGTTTCGGCCAGATCGACCCTTATAGGACAAGTTCAAAGCATCGTTAGATGACCTTTGCAGTTAAGGATCCCTGCCCCTACAGTAACCTCTTCATAGTTTAGAAAACTGTATCACAGTGACAGTTGACCATGGCACTTCCGTTGACTATGTGATAGTAAGCTCAGTCGGTTAGAGCGATATAATATACGATTATTAAAAATCTTGTCCCGCAAGATGTGGTTTTCTTTTCAAAGAACACAGTTTGTATTGCATAGTTAACAGCTTTTGGCCATGGTACGGGGATCCTTAATTAATAGGACGCTTCGCAAAACTTGCTTCAATCACTATCAGAGGGAATCCTGTTGACTCGGTATTTCTCTGCCAAGGGCCCTTCAGACAATATATCAAAGTACTGAAAGCACTATGATGTGAACACCGAATACAAAACATGCACGTTCGTCTCACCATGGAATCTATGTGAGACTTTCTCAATATCCATGAGTAACATTGGGGGGCAATAATTGACACATGCACTTTGCATAGTACTGACTATGTGTACCAAGCTGCTTTAAAGTCAGTCTTGAACTTTTAATAGCACCAGTATATCAAGACAAATGGGCATTCCATTCTTTAACAATGTCTTAAGGCCGAAATCTGATATTGTCATCATTGCTGTTGAAGTCAAGGGAACAAGAACCTAATTGTCAGACACAAGTTAAGTCACGTGTATTTATTAATTCTCGCTGAAATACAAACCAATGTTTAAAAGAAAACGTCATAAAAAACTGAGAACATAACTGTTTTTGTTAGAAATGTGTTAATTGCTTAAAGTATAAATAAACGCAAGTTGTTCGCAATGTACTATCTCCTGATAGAGTTTTCTCTGGCCCTGACACCAGGCTTTGACATTGCGAGACATCTTATCTGTCAAAATGTTTAAGTTTGGTGTCAGGGCCAGAGGAAAGCCAAGCTTCTAATAAAACTATACTTATCTAATTAGTATTGGACATAGTGGGGTTGATGTGGTCCATTCTAGGATTGGTTGGAATTAGTGTATTTTCAAAAGAAATGTAAAACTGTGTCAAGGAAGTTTTTCTTTAATTTTAAGCTGTGCCAATTTCTTGGCCCCATGGAACCCCATTATAACATCAGATCGGTGGTACATTGTATTCCCATTAAAAAAACTGGGTAATTGAAACCGTTTAAATGGTTGGTTTATTGCTTCCGATTACTGCGCTTGGTTAATGCAACTTTTTATTGATACCGTTTAGAAAGCTAGGTTATTGACACCGTTTAGAAAGCTAAATTATTGAAACCGTTTAGAGAATTGGGTCATTGATACCGTTTAGAAAGTTAGGTAACTAATACCGTTTAGAAAGCTAGGTTATTGATACCGTTTAGAAAGCTAGGTTATTGACACAGTTTAGAAAGCTAGGTTATTGATATCGTTTAGAAAGCTAGATTATTGATACCGTTTAGAGAATTGGGTCATTGATACCGTTTAGAAAGTTAGGTCATTGATACCGTTTAGAAAGCTAGGTTATTGATACCGTTTAGAGAATTGGGTCATTGATACCGTTTAGAAAGTTAGGTAATTAATACCGTTTAGAAAGCTAGGTTAATGATACCGTTTAGAAAGCTAGGTAATTAATACCGTTTAGAAAGCTAGGTTATTAATACCGTTTAGAAAGCTAGGTTATTAATACCGTTTAGAAAGCTAGGTCATTGATACCGTTTAGAAAGCTAGGTAATTGATACCGTTTAGAAAGCTAGGTAAATAATACCGTTTAGAAAGCTAGGTTAATGATACCGTTTAGAGAATTGGGTCATTGATACCGTTTAGAAAGCTAGGTAATTAATACCGTTTAGAAAGCTAGGTAAATAATACCGTTTAGAAAGCTAGGTAATTGATACCGTTTAGAGAATTGGGTCATTGATACCGTTTAGAAAGCTAGGTAATTAATACCGTTTAGAAAGCTAGGTTATTAATACCGTTTAGAAAGCTAGGTCATTGATCCCGTTTAGAAAGTTAGGTCATTGATACCGTTTAGAAAGCTAGGTTAATGATACCGTTTAGAAAGCTAGGTAATTAATACCGTTTAGAAAGCTAGGCTACTGATACCGTTTAGAAAGTTAGGTTATTGATACCGTTTAGAGAATTGGGTCATTGATACCGTTTAGAAAGCTAGGTTATTGACACCGTTTAGAAAGCTAGGTTATTAATACCGTTTAGAAAGCTAGGTCATTGATACCGTTTAGAAAGCTATGTCATTGATACCGTTTAGAGAATTGGGTCATCGATACCGTTTAGAAAGCTAGGTTATTGATACCGTTTAGAGAATTGGGTCATTGATACCGTTTAGAAAGTTAGGTAATTAATACCGTTTAGAAAGCTAGGTTATTAATACCGTTTAGAAAGCTAGGTCATTGATACCGTTTAGAAAGTTAGGTCATTGATACCGTTTAGAAAGCTAGGTAATTAATACCGTTTAGAAAGCTAGGCTACTGATACCGTTTAGAAAGTTAGGTTATTGATACCGTTAAGAAAGCTAGGTTATTGACATCGGTTAGAAAGCTAGGTTATTGATACCGTTTAGAGAATTGGGTCATCGATACCGTTTAGAAAGCTAGGTTATTGATACCGTTTAGAAAGCTAGGTCATTGATACCGTTTAGAGATTCGGGTCATTGATACCGTTTAGAAAGCTGGTTATTGATACCGTTTAGAAAGCTAGGTAATTGATACCGTTTAGAGATTCGGGTCATTGATACCGCTTAGAAAGCTGGTTATTGATACCGTATAGAAAGCTAGGTTATTGATACCGTTTAAAAAGCTAGGTTATTGACACCGTTTAGAAAGCTAGGTTATTGATACCGTTTAGAAAGCTAGGTTATTGATACCGTTAAGAGAATTGGGTCATTGATACCGTTTAGAAAGCTAGGTCATTGATACCGTTTAAAAAGCTAGGTAATAAATACCGTTTAGAAAGCTAGCTTATTGATACCGTTAAGAGAATGGGGTCATTGATACCGTTTAGAAAGCTAGGTTATTGATACTGTTTAGAAAGCTAGCTTATTGATACCGTTAAGAGAATCGGGTCATTGATACCGTTTAGAAAACTAGGTTATTGATACCGTTTAGAAAGCTAGGTAATTGATACCGTTTAGAAAGCTAGGTTATGTGATACCATTTAAAAAACTAGGTCATTGATACCGTTTAGGGAATATGTCATTGATACCATTTGGAGAATTATGTCATTGATACCGTTTAGAAATCTAGGTTATTGATACCGTTTAGAAAGCTAGATTATTGATACCGTGAAAAGAATCGGGTCATTGATACCGTTTAGAAAACTAGGTTATTGATACCGTTTAGAAAGCTAGGTAATTGATACCGTTTAGAAAGCTAGGTTATGTGATACCATTTAAAAAACTAGGTCATTGATACCGTTTAGAAAGCTAGATTATTGATACCGTTAAGAGAATCGGGTCTTTGATACCGTTTAGAAAACTAGGTCATTGATACCGTTTAGAAATCTACGTTATTGATACCGTTTAGAAAGCTAGGTTATTGACACCGTTTAGAAAGCTGTGTTGTTGATACCGCTAACAGAGCCTTTATTGCCACCGTTTAGGGGACTGAGTTATTGCATGGTGCCGACTATAAATCTTGGTTATTGATAGCGCTTTGAGAATTGGGTCATTAGAGGGGTGGGTTATTGAAACCGTTCAGAGAGGTCGGTTATTGACACCGTTTAGAGAGGTGAATTATTTACACCGTTTAGAGTGCTCGGTAATTGATGCCGTTTAAAGAGCTAGATAATTGATACCATTTAGAGAGGTGAGTTATCGTTACCTTTCAGAGAGGTGGGTTATTGACACCGTTTAGAAAGCTTGGTCATTGATAACGTTAAGAGAGTTAAGTAATTGAAGTCGTTTGGAGAGTATGTATGGTTATTGATATCATTTAGACAGCTTGGTATTTGATACCGCCAGAGAGCTATGCAATTGATGCTGTTTGGAGAGGTGGGTTATCGATACCGTTTAGAGAGCTCGGAGTTTTAAGTAAGTTGATAGAGAGCTAGGTTATTTGATACCATTTAGGAAGATGGGAAATCGATACCGTTTTTTAGAGAGCTATGTTATTGATGCCGTTTAGAGAGCTTGGTATTTGATACCGTTTAGAGAGCTGTGTAGTTGATACCCTTTATAGAGAGCTATGTAACTGATATCATTTATAGAGAGCTAGGTAATTGATACCATTTGTAGAGAGCTAGGTAACTGATACCGTTTATAGAGAGCTAGGTAACTGATATCATTTATATAGAGCTAGGTAATTGATACCGTTTATGGAGAGCTAGGTAATTGATACCGTTAATAGAGAGTTAAGTATTTGATACCGTTAATAGAGAGTTAAGTATTTGATACCGTTTATAGAGAGTTAAGTATTTGATACCGTTTATAGAGAGCTAGGTAATTGATACCGTTTATATAGAGCTAGGTAACTGATACCGTTTATAGAGAGCTAGGTAATTGATACCGTTAATAGAGAGCTAGTTAATTGATACCGTTAATAGAGAGCTAGTTAATTGATACCGTTTAGAGAGCTAGGCTACTGACACCATTTATAGAGAGCTAGGTAATTGATACCGTTTGTAGAGAGCTAGGTAACTGATTCAGTTTATAGAGAGCTAGGTAATTGATACCGTTAATAGAGAGCTAGGTAATTGATACCATTTGTAGAGAGCTAGGTAATTGATACCATTTGTAGAGAGCTAGGTAATTGATACTGTTTATAGAGAGCTAGGTAAGTGATACCGTTTATAGAGAGTAGAGTAATTGATACCGTTTAGAAAGCTCGGTAATTGTATGAAGGTAATATGTTATCCGTATTCAATAAGTAGGATATTAAAGATTTAAATAAATATTTCCACTTATTTGGCCTCACCGGTACCCCTCTGCCCCAGGGAGGTGGATGGCAATTCAAAGTACTATAGGGAAAATGGTAAGGCTTTAAAATTGTACTCCTTGAATAAGGGAACATGTTTTAACCTAGTTGGACTGCAGCAACCTTGCGTCAAAGGGATTCAGTGGTGGTTAAAGACAGTATGGTGCTATCTTGGGGCAGGCCTAAGTTTCGTGCCCAGTTATAGCCGAGAACATCTTTAGCATTCTGTAGGAGTAAAGGGATTTAACATCATTTGGTTTGGAGCTTCCTTTGGCCACGGGAAATTAATGCAATCAACAATGTATACACAGAGGGTGTACTGTGAATCCTTTAATGGTTGAGGGCGGGGATCCTTTAGGGGAACTATTGGTGAAAAATTATAAATCCTTTTCCTTTAGTGCAAGTGAAAGGATTTGAACCTCAAATGGTCTGGAGCATCCTTGAGCCATTCATTAAGGAGCCATATTTTTACGTAACGTAAGGATGTGGCTATCCTGGAGGCAGAGGGATGTGGGGTGGATAGATAGGGGAAAATATGTAAACCATATTCCTTGATTATGGATAAACTAGGAAAATTAAGGTAAATTGACCTGTCAGAAGCTAGAAGGATCATAATATATACTTCTGATATATGAAGTGTTTGTTGAAGCGAACAAAAAAGTATTGATTATTTATGGTAAATCTACGGTACATTATTTTTGAAAATAATTATGTCAATAAACCTTATTATCAATGCTAAAATGCATAAAATCTGTTAAAATAATCATTACTTAATCCAACGCCTGTTTCATGTAATATGTATGTAAAACAATAACATATAATATTAATTCCGTTGTTTTATGTATAAGTTGGTCAATATTTCTTGATTTTATTTCCATATCATCAAATGATATGTCATTTCATGCGCAGAGATGTGTATCGATTTACCGCATTTTCCCAGTGTTTCGTAAATTTCATGAAGTCCGTTTCTTTGACGTGTTTCGCAAATTCTATATGCTCCGTTCCGCATGAACGTTCACCATTTAACGAAAAAGATGGCGTACAAACCTTATGAGAAGCGGCACCGGGATTTGCAGGAAGATGTGCGTCCTCCCAACAGCAGACTTTTTGTTATCTGCGGGAAGGGAGTAAAAGAAGAAACGTTTAAAGATGCGTTCGAAGAATATGGAACGATTGAGGATATTTGGGTCGTAAAAGATAAACGGACTAACGAAGAGAAAGGTTAGCGTGGCCATTGTCATTGTCATAATAAATCCACGCGTCTCGTACTGTTGTCGCTGGTTGAGGTGCCATATATATTCGTATATTTATTACCCTTTACTTTAAATATAACTGCAGTGTTATCGTCTATGTTATACTTAATATTGTGCCGCATTACAAGTACCCGGCCTTTGTCCCTGAAAATTGCGTATCCGGTTAAAACGGCCTCACTGCAGTAGGCCTAACCAGGTCTAGTACACTCTGCCGATTGAGCTATATAGCTGTAAAGACATATAATAGCTCTATTGACCTATCTGAAAAAGGTCTTTTGGGCTATTTTCAAGTGATTTTCTTTTTTAAAGAAAACGAAACAGAGTCGCTTTTAAAAGAAGATTGTATCATTAGGTTGATAACAAAAGACATTAAATATAAGTATTCTTTTTAAAAAAAATGATGTAAAAAATCGGAAATTTTACATTTATGAAAAACGAAAATAAACATCTAACTGTATGCTCTTTTTAGTCAACATTACCATAAACCTTTTTCTTTTATGCGACTTTGCTTGCTTTAATTTAATGAAATTTGATATCTGAGAAAATATAGCTCAATACAGCTTAGTCCGAATTATTCTGACGTTTTATCAACTTTTTCATATCGTTCTGTCGTCGATTAACGTCAGAACTCCGGCCCTCTATAATATGCGGGAAATATGCGACCCGCGCCCGGAGCAAACTTCAAACTGATATTTTAGAAACAAATCGTCACTTTCGCACACATGTCGCACATGGATCGAAAGATCTATTCTTTAGGCACTAGGCGGTATCAATAACATGTTTCAAAGATCATTACGAAAAGTATTTTCCAACGGTTTCTATACCAACCCATGTTTTTAGTGGAAATTAGGCCATGAGCAATGACACATGACTTGACAAGATCTTGTGTTACCGAAGGTATTTCCCAATGTTATGATGTAGGCCGGCGAGATTTTAGTCACGTGGCATTAGAAGGCGGGGCTATCAAAAAACTAGAGTAAAACAGAGTAAGTTTGAAAAAATATGTCTTTAGTGATTGTATTGGTTGTTTGAAGCATGTTATGTATGTTCATCTTGTGCATGAAGAATAGATCTTTCGATCCATCTGTGACATGTGTGTGAAAGTGACGATTTGTTTCTTAAATATCAGTTTGAAGTGTGCTCCAGGCGCGGGTCGCATATTTCCCGCATATTATAGAGGGCCGGAGTTCTGACGTTAATCGACGACAGACCAATATGAAAAAAGTCGATAAAACGTCAGAATAATTCGGTTTTGAACGTGCACACACACCTTATTCATATTACCAATACAGGCATTTAATACTTCATTTAAAATCCAATCAAATTGTATAACACAATTTGATAAGTAGGGCGGATTTTACAGTGATGCCGTTTTGACCTAGATTCGAAAATTGTCTCGTCGTCTGAAGATTATGTTGCTTCATTGCAGTTACAACAGTAGGAATTATCCCTTGAAGAAATATCCTATTTGTGTTCTTTTTTGGGACAGTACAAATATAACGTCTCTACCTGCTGTGTTATTGTTGCTAAAAAATGTTTGGGGGTGGGTGGTGTCTTTTTGGAAACACAAGTCACCTCTCTTGCTAAAATAATCTTGCATTTGCAATTGGGTTACAGATATTTATAATACAGTAACTATTACAGTACAGTACCAATTGTATTAGTGAACTTGGGTATAAAGTGAAGCAGAAGGGCATAATTCTTTCAGCAAAATAAAATAGATAGGGTATTGAATGAGGTATATTTGTGGACAAAAAATGTGTGAGCAGGTGTCATAAATTTTTAAAAAAGACAGCAGGATTCAAATTTGGGAGCTTCCTAACTCTAGACGAATGCTATACCAATTGACCTGCATGATTGCCAACCATCAACCCAGTCCAGTTCAGCTACATTCCTCCCTCTTTTTTCTAAGTCTTTGACCCCGAAGATATCACTATATAAAACAGGTCCGCGGGTATCCACTTGCAAGGGTTGGCAAGCTTGTCAATTTTGTAACAGGAGTAAGAGAAAAGCAACGGCCAGAACAGAATTCACATCTGGGACCTTCCGAACTCAGATGGACGCTCTACCAATTGAGCTATGTGGTCGCCAACGATCGACCTAGTCCAGTTTCGCTAAATTTGTCTACAAAAGCATATTGAATTGGTGTATGAATGTTCGCCGTTATGACGTCATGGTTCAACGTGTACTATTCTGCATGACTTCTTGAGGCTATATCTCCACCTAGGCCAGGGGATAACAAGCTGGTTCTTGGCTAAAACGGGTGATATACTTGTGAAGGATGGGAGAAAACCTACATTGGTTCTTTTGAAATTTTAGAATTTTTATCTACACATACAATCCCAGCTGATAAACCAATTTCATGACATATGTACTATTAGCTATAGTTGTGTTTGTACTTATAATTAAAAATAATAAAATGCAAGTAATAATCAGATCATTAGAATATAATTTTTCAGATAAATTCCCCAACAGACTTTTCGTACACATATTAAAGTTGAATCTTTTTGGACACTGTTACAGGTGTAGCTTACATCAAGTACTCGAAGTCGTCTGAGGCTGCTCATGCCATGGAGGAGATGAATGGCAAACAGCTGGAGGGCTCGCCAAAACCCATTAAGGTACATTGTCTTGACTACAAAATCATGACCATTTGGTCATAATAAAGTTTTTAAAAAACTGCTCTGATATGCAATGTACATGTATTACCGTAAATGTGCTTGCCATGCATGAAGGGATATATGAACACTGTCATGCAAGCCTACCAGGATTAGCACTGGGTTTAGTTGGCCCCATCCAGGGCTAGCTCTGGGTCTTGATTCATGTTCCCAACAAGTGCGTGTGATTGCACGCAATCATGGACCAGTCCCCCCCCCCCCCCCCCAAAAAGACCTCATCCCTTTAATTTTAATTTAATTTAAGCATCCCATTATATGCATTCTAATGTGTATCCTATGTATCTTAGACAGGAAATGAATTATTGAAATGAAGAAAATGTTTTATGTTTTATTACTATAAAACACTAACAGTGCAAATAATTTCATTTTTTATACGCCTGTCAAATTTGGCGGGAGTATTATGGTATGACATTATCTGTCCGTCCGGCGTAGACTTTTGTTTGTCCGGCGCAATCTCCTCCTACATTTTTCGACCGATCTCTTTGAAACTTGGTATACATTATAATCATGATATGAAGTTGTGTCTCCATTAAAAGAATTTTGATATGATGATTTTTGCAAAAGGTTTTGCCCTTTGTTCATTTCAGTATTTGATTTTTTGTTCGGAGATTTTCTCCTACATTTTTTGACAGATTTCTTTGAAACTTTGTAGGCTAAATAATCATGATATGTTGTTGTGTTTCCTTGAAAACAACTATGATTCAACAATTTTTGCAAAAGTCATTGCCCTTTGTTCATTTCAGTATTTAATTTTTTGTTCAGAGATTTTCTCCTATATTTTTTATAGCAGGTCAGCTAACCACTCTTAGAATGATGCAAATCTTCTTTCAATGTAAGAAAGTATATAACATTATATGGCATTCGACAGAATATTCCGCCCTAGAGTGCTCTGTTTTTTTTTTATTTCTGCGACATTCCCTGGCCTTCTGCATCCCAATTTAAAGGCCTTCTACACTCCAACCAGCTACTCATTGTTGCCAAAGTGCCAGGATGAGATATTTCATCTGTTAAAATGAAGAAAAAACATATATAAGAGAACTGAACATGCATATATATATTGGAGCAAATCATTTTCACCAAAACCAAAGGCTGATCATTTAGGAATTTACCATCCATATATATCAAAAGTTGTATTGGTGGTTATTTATCTCCATACTATCAGTTGATAATTCTTAGTCAAAAATCATTTGTTGGCAAAAATGCCAAAATATTTTCACATACAAAAATAATAATCGGCAACATAAATATAATTTTCTGCAAATTGTCGTCTCGATCAGAGTGCAAGAATGACACAATTTAAATTGTACATGTCATTTTCTGTGCCCTGGCAATTATATATCCGTTACTGCTTATCAAAATTAAAAAGAAAGTCGCTAAAAAAATATCCCACCCTGCCTCCAAATGTAAATACACACCTGTGCCTCGTTATTGCCTCGCATCACTTCACAGGATTTACTGCGGTACCTACTCTAATCCAATTAAAACAACCCTTTTCTCACCCTAACCTACCCTTTTGTTCTCCACAGAGCACCCCCTCGAAACTAGACAATATATATAGTCATATTTGGATAATTGGCGATTTTGATATCAGACGGAGTCGTTGTGTCGACAGGTGACCATTTTGTAAAAAAAATAAAAAAATAGTTCCAATATTCTCACCTTGCCATTCATCGGAAATGCATTCAGCCGTGACATCATAGTACACAAGCGGTGTCTGGGGGCTAAATTTACCTGTAACAATTGCTCTAGAAACAGTTATTGCCAAAGTTTTTTTCCATTGTCGACAGTAACTTAAATAAAAGCCCCTCATCAACATTTTCGCCAAGAGCAGTTTCAAATCGCCAATCATGTTTTACTTTTGCCAGTGGCAACAGCCAGAAAGAGCGAGCCCTGTCCATCCCTTGAGACTAATGACTACAGATATTTGTAATATTTCTTTGATAAGAATTTTTGACATGTTTCTTGTTGGTGTCCCCTTAACTATTTCTGTTTCATTTGTTCACAAATGGTAAATCAACAACCAACATGCTTCCAATTTCTTAATAGCCTATTTTAATTTTGATGTCGACGAAAAATTGCTGAAATGGCGCATTGCTCTCAAGTTCCAGGATGTTCCCTGGGTTTGTAAAAGTAAAATTTTTATAAACTTTTTACAAATTATGTACACATCTTTTTTGGGAGTTGAAAAATGGAGAGAGAAAAATGTAAAGGTCTAAAATGCTCTATTACTTAGCATAAATATGTTTGTCTTGTAGGTTCTCATTGCCAGCAGTAAAAGGGAAGGATCTGTCCGAGACCCTAAGGAAGATGAGAAACTGTTACGATTGTTTGTTATTGTTCCAAAGTCGTATACTCGTGACGATCTAAAAAAGGAGTTTGAAGTAAGTATTCCTGGGATTTATTCCTCCGTCTTTTTGAAGTTAATTTTAATTACAGTACAACCCTTTTTCAGTTGGTCAAGATATTTTGATTTTTGATATTTATATTTTGTACTGTTTTATGACATATATATGATCGCTCTGTTTCAGAAATATGGGGATATAGAAAGTGCCACGCTGGTGACAGACAGAGTGTCTGGGGAGTGTAAAGGTTTTGGTTATGTCCGCTATCACAGAGCCTACCACGCTGCTCTGGCAATGGAAACCTGTGACCCATGTATGTAATTCCCACCATGCATCAGTGATTTTAATCAACATTCTCCATCAAACGTCACATGTGAAGGAGCTTGAGTTTGGTTATTGTGTGTTTAAATTGCTGTTAGGTACTAAGGTAGATGTAAAGAAAAGATGAGACAAAATCTTCTCGTAAGTTCCATCAGAAGTCACGGTTTCCCAACTCCACAAGACAGTCATTGATGGGTATTTCTTGATGTAAAAGACTACCTGATTGTTTTGCTCTTCGTTTTCTGTTTTCTGGATTGTATCAGTTGTATTTTCTTAGATTCCAAGCTAAAGGTTTACAGTCTTCACTGATACTCACTCAAAAGTCAAGTGAAGTTAGTAAACACAGGGATGAAACTGATGCATTCCCGGTCTGCTAGGTTTTATGTGTACAGTTAATCTAGACTTGATTCACCACCGTTTATGAGTAGTTTCCCCTACAGAAGAAAATAGTGGTTTTTTTCAAGATATTTCCCCTATTTATTTTCTTAAAAGTTCAACTGTTAAAATTTATAAAACTGCATATATACAGTTTCTTCACATAATTTAAACAAAAATTCTACTATTTTAAGCTTAAAATTGTTTATAAATTGAAATAAACTGCACACATGTATGTTGGACAAAACATTTTAGAGCCTTGTATCAAAATTTTAATTCCCCCCCCCCCCCCCCCCCCCGATCTGAAAAAGGTAGATTCCCCTTTAACCTACCGGTAGATTCATCCCTTACACTAGAGTTAGAACCCTGGTATACTTGTAGTTTGTTAGTGGATTTGACTTATATCAGGGGCACAGATCTAGAGTCGCTGAGTTACACTGTTTACCAAATCAGGATACAAAAATGGAGTTGAAAACGGCTTAACCTTAAAGTTTTCAAGTCTGTGGTTGTGTGGCAGTTTGTGAACTAAACCCAACCTGTTATGCACTTGCATGTTATTCGTTCTGTAATCTTTGTTGTTTTCAGCTTTTAAACCAAAGTTTGCGGACCCTAAGCCTACGAAGGATGACTTTGATAGCCACAGTCGCCGAGATCGCGGGGACAGGGACCGAGACAACATGTACGGGGGGTACCAAGGAGGGTACAGAGATATGCTGGGAGGGGGAGGCGGAGGAGGAGGAGGCGGCGGAGGGGGTTATAATTCCAGAGGTGATAGAGGTAAGCCGTTTGGTAAACGTACTACTGGCAGAAGTCTTTTTCTACTAATCTGACCGATATTTTTATTTTCAATATTAAAAAACATTCGAAAGCCACAACAAAGACACTAATAGCCCCGAGTGTTGGTCAAGTGGAATACTAATAGCCCCGAGTGTTGGTCAAGTGGAATACTACACGCGGCAGTTGCCTGCTGGTGTATGCTTTAGGTTTTCATCAGTGTTCAAACTTTATGTTTAGACTGCAAATAGCTATAGCCTGTGGCCATAAAAACGTAGTCAACCATAATTTATACCATGACCAATTTATTTTCGAAGATTTCTTCACATAGTATGAACGCTTCATTATCTACAAAAATAGTTTTTCTTCGTAAACTGAACTTGATATCCTCTGTTATATATTAATAACATTTGTTTCTTGGGTATCAGTTTAATTTATTTCTGTTAAAGTCAGCTGGTCACTGAAAGTTTCTGTCCATCACAATGCCAAATCTCATAGACATTGTCTATAGTGTATAAACTATTGGATACAAAGACTGTATTATAATGAGACTATCTTTGTCTCTTCCAGGCATGAAGAGGGGCTACCAAGATATGGGAATGTCCCGGTTCGACATGGGGCGTAACAGCAACCGAGATGATTTCGGAGGCGGAGGAGGAGGTGGTGGTGGTGGAGGTGGATATTACCAGGAACAAAATAGGAGTAAGTCAGTGTCTTTAACTCATTCACCCTTTAAGACACGGTTGAACTCTTCCAATTTAAAGGTTGGAATAGTTCATTATGAAATTTCAGGGGTGAATTTAGTTAAACAAATCAGGCCAGATTAACAGCAGTTTATAGTTCAAGTAATATAGAAAATACGGTTCTGCATTTAAAATGGTTATTGTCTACCACATCAGGATTATGGAATATAGGATGGCCAATTTAGATAGGAGTTTGTCAACCCTTCTGGTTGTAAGAGGCTGTAATTCAATTTTCAAGTGGAGGTAGAGGACTGGTCAATATTGTTAAATTCATTTTATTTTCTTTGAAAATTTGTTGGAAAAGCTCTTTGTGGAATAATGTCCTTCCCTCAGTGAACAATTCACCACAGAAACAGAAAAATGGAAATAGATAGAAGGCAGGGAAATTAAATTTCATGATTTGTTAAAAAAATACTAATGAACTTGTAGCAAATTGAACAGCGTGCAGAATTAACTTTCTGTGATAAAGTTCGTGTAAACCCTGAGACACATGTTTAAGATAACACTTGGTCTACATTTCTATATCCTTTTGATGGCCGCTATAATATAGCCTTGCACATGTACAACCAAAGCTCATATCTATACCCCACATTTTTATACGTCCCCCATTTTTATATGCGCCCCATTTTGACAAAGTGTATGTTATGTTCTTTTCCACCTGTCTGTCATATGTAGGAAAAAAATAACGGCTCCTAATTGTGTTAGAACTTTTTTTCATATCTATATGCCCCATTTTTATACGCCCCATTTTTATGTCCCCCATTTTATACGCCCCCCCCTACCTCCATTTTGACGAAGTGTATGTTATGTTCTTTTCCACCTGTCTGTCAAATGTAGAAAAAAATTACAGTTCCTAATTGTATTGGAACTTTTTCGGAAAGTGATATATAGTTATATTTATGTTTAAGGTTTGAAATGCATCTCTCTTTAGCAATTATGAAGGTTATGAACACAATTCAGTTAAACATATTTGTTAATGTACAGTACAAGATAGAATTGTCTTTATATCTTTACCATTTCTGTCAAGTGGTGAAATTTGTGAATTTTCAGTCATAATTTTACGTCAAATATTTATTGGTCCCCGATTACTCAAGCAATTTTACAGAATGACTTGAACAGTTTACGGAAAATATTCACCTGGTAATTTTTCTTGTTTTACTTGATTATAACGACATATATTTGGTTGTAAGGTTTATTTAAAGACTATAAAGAAACAAGATTTATTTAAGTATTGTTCTGTGTTAACAGTGTCGGTTCCACCCCCGTCCCAGCCCTTGTTACCTATGGGAGGTAGCAATGTGTCACAACAGGGACCCATGGAGATGCTGCAGTCCTACCAGAGTCACGGCAGTACCAGGCTACACATTACCGCACCTATTGGTCTCACCCAGGGCTATCTCACACGTCTCTTCAGCCTCATTCCCGGCCTCGAGTACTGCGATCTCAATGAAACGACAGGTGAGTTTTGATATAGACGTCCTCATTCCCGGCATGATGGCAGAATCCTCAGTGGTCAGATAAGACAGGATGTCAGAATGCTCAGTGGTCAGATTAGACAGAATGTCTGAATAATCAGTGGTAAGATAAAACAGGATCACAGTCTTCAATTATAATATACAAAGAGTTAATATTCATTTACTATTTATGGTAATCCCAGCTCTCTTTTAATTCCCATAGGAATAGCATATGCACGATACACAACAGCGCAGTGTGCATCATATGCGCGTGACAAACTTGATGGCTTCGAGTATCCCATTGGCAGTCGACTGATGGTGAGGTTTGCTGATGGACCAAGCAGTGCACAACCAACTGACACACAGCAGCAGGACAATAGTGGCAATTACGACAGGTAAACAATCTTTTCCAGGTGAACATAGTATCACAGTCAATGACACGACAGGTAAACAATCTTCTCCAGGTGAACATAGTATCACAGTCAATGACTAGTGGTAATAATAGCATTCTGTTACTCTCTAAATCAGCACTCAATAACATGCTTAAAAAAGGAGCACATTATAGTTTGGAATTAAACAGCATGCATGGCTGCCACGGTTGGCTGCTTCTCAAAACCTGGTAGGCATTATCTACTTACACTTATTTCCATAAAGGAGAATTCTTTTTTTCTCAGTCTTATTTGCTTTATTTCAAAGGAAGCATTCGCTTTTTGCATCATTTTGTAATCATTTTTGCCCACCATCATCAGATCATCAAATGATGTTTGGTCCGTCTGTTCTTGAACAGTCTTTTTTTTATTGATTCTTCTTCTTATTTTGGAGACTGATGGACAGAACAAGATGGCCTTAAGACAGCTATCTCAGATTTTGACAGTTCAAATTTCTTATTTAGTCGCAAAAATATCCTTGAAGGTTCTTCTTCTAAATTGTATCATCCATGAAAAAATGTTTCACAATCAGAGAAATGGGGATATATGTTAATAAGGATGTGTAGCGGACCTGAACTGGGTCGATCGCCAGTGATTAGACAGCTCAATTGGCTAGAGCATCCTACTAGAGTTTGGAGAGTCCCAGGTTCAAATCCCGGTCTGGCCGTTGCATTTCTCTTTCTACTGTTACAAATTTGGCATCCAACAAAATATACTCACTGAGGGTGGGATAGGGTCTCGTGTGTCTTCGGGGTCAAAAACTTTGTTGAAGGAGGGAGGATTGTAGAGTAACTTGACCAATCGTATAGTCCCGTGTTAGAACCCCTGTCTAGCCATGCATTTCTCTTTCTCCTGTTACAGATGCATCACTAATTCACTGGTTTTAAAATATTCGTAAAATATATATGTTAATACATGACAAGTATGCAAAGATGTTGATATTATGGTAAACCATGTTACCAGTGATTTATAAACATGAGTGAATTGGGGATTAGTGCTGCTTCTTAGTTCCTGAAGTCTTTTCAAAAATAATCACAGCTTCATGTTTCTAATTAAAAACTTGTTGTTGTTATCAGTTACCGTGGATACTGTGCAGCACGTCCAGATCAACACAAGGCAGAAGACATGATTCAGAGAGTGAGTACTTTATACTTGACTGTGTACCTCTGTAGTACTCGGTTCTTGTACTACTTAAAACAATTATTGAGCTCCCCACAGTATAAATGGTTCGCCCATTGTCAGTATAATGTGACCGGGTGGGGTGTCCACTGTGTGTCTTCAGCAGTATGTTTCAGAGAGAGGTAGCACTATAAAGTCAGCATCAGTTCCGCGCTATCACAAGGAGACAAATATGAACATATCGCTGCCTCCCAAAACACACACGCATACACTACACGCATGCATCTTGCACACATGGGAGGCTGTCCTTTAATGACCATAGCTGTTGATAGGACGTTAAACAATACTGAACCAAACCACATAAACACAATCATCCACAGTACTCCACTTATGTTCTCTCCATCCCTGGAATATGTCTTAGCAAAACAGAAGGCATACAGTTAGCTATTCGATTGGTTAAGGTTAAAATAAATTGACCAATTGCTATTTGCTAGGCTGATATCTCCCGAGACATGACAAAGTAGTCAATTTGACCTTGATGCTACTGTGCGATTCTACACATCAAATAATCACACAAGTCTTCTTTATCATCCACAAGGTGGCGCTTTTGATTTTGTCATGATATATTCAAGAAGTGCAGTGAATGTAAGAGGGCATAACCCCAGGAATTTCTATGACGACACATATATAATAGGCAAAAATTTACAAAAACATTCAAGCTACCAGGAAAAGCCCTGGGGTCGGCCCCACTTAATTCTGAAATTTGGGTATTTATCTTTGAAATTGCCGAGATCCTTACAGTCCATACGAAATACAAACTTTCTTACAGGACATTCGGTCAAGTACCTATCCCAAGCCTGACTGCACTGAATATAACAGGATCATTTAGAATGCTTAAGTGACATGACTGGAGACGATTGTAGAGTAGAAAATGTACGCTAGACATTTGGTCCGCAATTACGATGGGGATTGCCAGACCAGCAGTAACTTTTACCGGACATGTTCGTGGGACCTGCATATTTCGCATGGACTGTCCTTACCATTAATCTACTTGTATTTTGGCAAGGCTTTAAGGGATAAATACAACCATGTTATAAGGAGCAGTCTGGGGTCTGGACCCGCTATAGGGTTTTAGTCCCGGCATCCTAACATAGAATTGGTTGAGATCCCCACCATGGCACCTTAGTGTGTGTATACGTTAAATTGCTTGGAAAGAAAAGATGAACAAAATCATTATCGGTCAATGGGCCAGTCTCACCCCTGGTAACTAAGTACCTTGGTCATAATGTTAACGTTAGAAATGGGAATTGAAAGCCCCACCTAACCACTGCAGACTCAACTCCAAGTCATTGCACGGATTATAAGACTGTAAATAATTGCAAGGTATAGAGATGAATACACTCAGATGACATCAGGACTGGCCCAGGGATCCGTCCCCTCCAGTCTCAATGTGATAATCCAGGCCATTAATCACATGCATACAGAACTCAGTTTTATTTTTTAAGCAACCTTGATTCTTGGAAGCGTGGAATTAATTGTTGCATAAAAGAAAGTGGAGCCTCTCTAGAGACTGAGGGACATAGTCAAAAAGGAAATTAGGGTTAAAGTCTAAAGTCTACTTCTCTTGACTAGTTGATTGCATTAACCAAGTTTGGTATGAAGTGACCTTTGGACCAGAAAATGAAAATTTTAATAAAGGAAAGGTGTGCATGTTGTTCCCCCACAGATACTGAGACGCACACGCCATATGGAAATGTTTGTAATGTGTAACTATTAGTGAGAACATTTTACTCTGATTGCTTAAATATCAAAGAGAATGATACAGGCCCTATTGATCTGGGCCTCTTATGTCTAGTTGTGGAGGCATCAATATGAGGAGACACCTGTCGCAGAATAAACCCACCAAAATGATAAATCTGTTAACGTGCTGGAACACTGGCTTGATTTTCCCTTTCACAAACTTATATGAAACAAGAACATGTCACCTTCATGTATAAATCAGAAAATAGAAAAATGATACAATTTAAATTCCTTTAACAGTAAATTCATATCATTGCTTCTGTGACAGATTGCTTCTGTGACAGACATCATAGTGAGTGTCATTACTGTAGTCAGATATATAGTAATGTCTGTTTACATTTGTTACAATAAAATAAACAGTTGTCTATGTCACAGGTTTTATTTTCTTAGATTACCTTACAGGCAGCACTGATCCTGGAGAAGGCTGGAATTAACCCTGACCGGGTACTGACCGCCACCTCAGGGGCGGGGCTGGGCTCAGTGGGCGGGGACATGGAGAGGGTAGCGTATACCTCCATTCCCCTCCCCTACCCACAGTCCATGAAGCCTGAGGACACTGAGGTGGTACAGAGACTATTCATTGTCTGCCAGCCCTCAGGCATCCCAGAGAAAGTATTACGTGATGCTTTCTGTAGATTTGGGAATCTCATCGACGTCTATTTGTTACCAGGTGAGAACTAATACTCCACAGACTTCTCCTTTCCTGAGGACACACATTGATGGATTTGTTATAGTATACCCTAAATTTCTTGATAACAAATCTGATTTTAAAATAGGCCACCCTTGAAAATGAGCCTTAAGCTTGGATTCCTTGCAGTGAAACATATCTTAATAATAAGCCATCTTTGAAAATAAGCCAGCTACGAAAATGAGTCTTGGATTCCTTACGAAAAACTAAAATAAGCTGTGACTTATTATTGAATTTTTTTGGTATTCATTCAACAGGCTAGATGATGAAGTCAGTGAATAAAAACCTCCTCTTCTTTCCAAGATGCTTTCTGTGGTCAACCTGTGTATAATATACAATTTACAGTCACGCCCAGTGATTATTCTTGCCTTGCTTATTATGGGGGCATTTTGAAATTAGAAATAAGTGCCTTTTGTATGTTAAAGTGGGGCATTATAGTAGAAAAAAAGCTTTGTTTGAATTCTGCTAAGGCACCTCTAAAAATCATCAGTGCACAATGATCAGAGGACTGCTGTATCTTTCCTGCTGTACTTTGTGACAGGATGTTGTTCATTTCAAAGGATTGCAGTATGTTTTGTAATGAAATTTTTCTTCAAGATTACCCATCAATAACACAACTAAAGGTGGTCAATATCCCATTGAAAGATTTGGTTTTCTTCATTGTGAAATGAAGTTAGTCCAAATTTTTATATTTCTACTTTCAAACAATTTTTTTTTTTTTCTTTTTTCGAAAAAATATTGCAGTAAGGTACAGTATTGATAATACGTTTTCTCTAATTTACACAGCTCGTAACTATGGCTATGCCAAGTTTGCCTCCAAGGACAGTGCTATGCGTGCTATCCAGGTATTGCATGGTCAGAATTTGGCTGGTAATCGTCTGAAGGTGTTGGAGGCAGAGCCGCCTAAAAATGAGCATTCAGACAACACAGGAGGTGATGAGGAACCGAAACGACCCCGCTACTGAAAGGTAACATTTCCCCGACGCACTCACTCCTCCACTAACTGATCAACTGACTGAAACAACTTTGTACTGGCCATACCCAATGTACTCTGTCACATCAAATTATGATATTTGTATGGAAATGTCTTTTCGAGTGGCAGAGTGTTACAAATCTAAACCTAAGTCAGGTATTGAGCTCCACTGTGTAAAGAGTTATTCATTGTTGATACCAAAGCTTATCTGGAGATGGAGGAATGTAAGGCTAGGAAAATCATCAACCACCAAACATTTGTTTATCAATTTGAGCACTCTTTGTAAATCTGTCTGCATTATTTTGACGTTACAAGAAAATTGTCTGATACTCCAAGGCTTACACTTACTTTCGCCCTAAGCACCCCTGGAATATGTCATAGCAAAATTGAAAGCATGAGCATGCAACTAGCTATTTGATTGGTCTCGGGTAAAAAAAAAAGACCAATCGCTGAGGCTGATACCTGTCCTTTGAAGATTACAGAGGATCAACACCCGACTTCAAAGCCAGTAAATTTTACCATTACGCAACCGACAGATTGTTTTGATGTACATCAAAGGATCAAACTAGTCTTCTTGTCTCATCCACAAGGTAGTTCACACTGAGCCTTCAATTTTGCTATAATTAAACGTAAGCCCTGGAGTATTGAGGATGCAAGAATGTGAGTAGGAGAATAATAAACAGTACTGACGGCATATGCAGACAGGAAAATCTCAACCCGTAGGATAATAGATTTTAATGTATTCCCTGTAGATATTAGTTCTATTGGTACTGCTGCTGTTAGATGTTACTCTACTCTTGCTTTGATGAAGCTGTTCTCGCGCATGTCTTCCTGATCAAGTCATGTTGGACCTGTGATGGTCTGAAGCAAACAGTTGCCAGATGAAAATTGTATTGCGACGTTGTCTGACTAGTATTCTCTGTTACAGCGGACTGACCACTCCTTGGACTGACGCTGATTTAACTGACCATTAGACTTGAGGATGACCAAAACAAACAAACCGGACACATTTCTGTTGGAGCATTACTGACTTCTTTGGATGGAGACGGCGTCATTTGATAACGAAATTTACACAGGACAAAAGTACAGAAAACTGATTTTGATTGACTCACTGAGATTGTCGACAAGAAGGTTGACGATGGTCGAAACTTAGACTCATTGATATTGTCGAAACGTTGACTCGTTGATATTGTCGACAAGAGGATTGACGATTGTCGAAACATTGACAACATCGATGAAAGACTAAAATACTTTATCATTTTAAATGTTCTATGATATATATGGGAGAGTATATATTGACACGCTTTGTAACAAACCACTACAGAGTTTTGTTGACTACATGAGAAGATTCTGTTACATTTGTCGTAGACTGTATACAGACGTCCCGGAGTACAAGTACTAGTGGTATATTGTACTGAAGCCTAGCTGTCGGATAAACTTCAGTCATAATTTTGTTGATGTGGAACGATATTCTTGTTGATAACTCCTACACAAATGACTGGTATAATGTAATGTGTGATATAAATACTTGTGGAAGAGCAACTGATTAAAGTACTAGAGGGGAAAGTCCTGTTCCACTCGATGTAGCAGGCAATAATGTAAGGTGGTAAACTAATAATCAAAGAAAGGGTATAGGAACACTTCATTAAATATTATAATAGAGGTTTCTATTACAATGACTGTGTTAATAGCTTTCAGTCAAACTCATCCATTTCAACTCTACACATAAGGAATGTCCATCAACATTTTGACCAATCCCTTGAACTTGTCTCTTCAATCTTGTTTGTAAGAAAGGAACTGTTAATAGGTTAAATAGAAGTATGGGTAAATGAGATACCATTTTGTGAATTTAGTTTGAAATGAGACGTTTTGGTGAATATAAGATGTGTAGCACTTGTAGTCAGGTTCACATCAGAACATGTTTTTATGTTCATTTAAATCCCCTTTGAATTTGTTTTTGTGGCTCTGTCATCGGTTTTTGTAAAAGTTTGCAGCTGTGAAGTGGTCCAGTATAACATTTTCTTGATCCAAGATTAAGACGTCTTTAGCATAGGTCTTTTATATTCCTATGGTTTATTCTGCGAATCATTTTCTGACTTTGTATCATTTAAATCACACTTTTATTTACATGAGTCTATAGCTATTTCATTGTTGTATATTTAGTCATAAAAGTGTTTTACAGTGTATTTTATTCTGTGTCATTTCATTCATTTTACTGCATGTTGTACATGTAGATTCAGTATTGTACCCGAGCAAAAAATGTCTGCCGTGTGTCTGTCAGTTAACAAAACCTTCTCCAGGGAACACATACACACGTGAAAGTTTGCCTTAGGCTTACAGTGATAGTTGTGTAGGTCTACATAAGCTGTATATGTGTAGATTTATAAATGAATATACGTATATATAAACTAGGGCTGCACCGATATACTGTGCAACGATATATCACAATATTTTGATACAGTACGATACAAAATATTTCCTTTGGAGGTCACGAAACACCGACGATATTTTCCGGATTTTGTCGTTTCTGAATTTAGTCTACACATATCGGTTCCAGCGTAGCGAATGACGGCTCCAGCTCGGTATGCACGTCAACAAAAGTGAATTGTGTGAAACTTAAAAGTGATACCCATTTTAGGCCACCTCTATTTCCAATTGTAATATTGCCATTAAAAGTTTGCAATATACCTTTGCGCTTTAGTTCTTTACAATTTGTATCGTGACCACAGTATCGTGATACATATTGTATTGTGACCACAGTATCGTGATACATATCGTATCGTGACCACAGTATCGTGATACATATCGTATTGTGACCACAGTATCGTGATACGTATCGTATCTTGACCACAGTATCATGATATGTATCGTATCGTGACCACAGTATCGTGATACATATCGTATCGTGACCACAGTATCGTTATACATATCGTATTGTGACCACAGTATCGTGATATGTATCGTATCTTGACCACAGTATCATGATATGAATCGTATCGTGACCACAGTATCATGATACGTATCGTATCGTGACCACAGTATCATGATATGTATCGTATCATGACCACAGTATCATGATATGTATTGTATCGTGACCACTGTATCTTGATACATATTGTATTGTGACCACAGTATCGTGACCACAGTATCATGATATGTATCGTATCGTGACCACAGTATCTTGATACGTATCGTACATGTTACATGTTACAGTATGGTTGCAGACCTAGCTAGTATATACATTCTTCAGTGTTCTCATTCAGTGTAACAAAATGCCTAAATAATCCATCAAATCTCATTCAAAAGAAGGTCACCATGGTTAAGAAAGAGAATCTTTTTCTAATTTCACATAACACACATCTGCTTTGTAGTTAGTTTGCATTTTCTTAAGTGACGTCATAGAGGGAAAGAGTAAGCAAGAAATTGAAAAGGAATTGAATCAAAATTCATGACATACTTTGCTCTTTGGCTTGCTCATGTGTGAACCTATCATGCTTGATGATGTGCTTTTTTTCTCATGATGTTAAATTGAAAAGAAATAAAAAAAAAAGAATTGATAAGACGAAATATTTTGCCTTCTGACTTGGTGGTTTTGTCCGAAAGATGATTTTCTGTTTGCTATTTGATCGATGTGTTTTGATTGTTTTGAGAACTTGAAAAGTGAAAAAAGATTTCATGGATGACAGACTTTTAAGGACCGGTTCGTTTATGAACAGGACTTGATGAAATATTTTGATCTGTACAATTTCATTGTTTGTGACAAGACCTAATTCAAGGCAAATTTGTAATTTGTCATTGACATTATAATGAAACAAACAAGTTTAGGAAAGTTTTAATTAATATAATAAACAACAAAATTACAAACAATAGGTTGTGATTTACTGTCGAGAAGAGTCAGAAACACAAATCAATTTGGTTACAAATTACAGTCAGTATCTTACCAGTGATAAACTCGGGAGGACTGAACAAACAAATGGGTCGAAAGTAAGGGATGGGTAGTAAGTAGTCCAATATATCCCTCGGATAAATTAGAAATATTTTCTTAATAAACATGGTAATTTGAAAACAAATATTTTGAAAAATCAATAAATGTATTTAAAAAGGTAAAAGCTATTTATGTAAAAGATTTTCTGACATCTAAATTTCATTGCAAATTATATTTTCTGAAATAGTAATTTGATTCGGTTTTTTGGCACGCCATTCAAACAAAACAATCTATTTTTATAGATTTAAAAGTTAAAACCTTAAAAAGCTTTTAGATTGCTTCATGATTCTGTGAGTCTGAATGTGTGACATGGGGTTTCCAATGGCCAGAAGATGGAGACGAGAAATGCCTGTTGACGACTTCCACCTGTTGACGACTTCACCTGTTGACGACATGCACACACCTGGCGGTGTATAGACAGACAGGTGAACGCGAAGCCCAGTACAGCAGACAGGTGACATCAGAACATGTATCGCTCATACAACCTCAGTCATTATCCGCTAACAACATTGGTTGTTAAATGACTACCAAAATATTTTGGTGACTTTCTTGTGCATGACGACTATTTATGTATTTTCAAATCATTTTTTCAGTAGGTTATTGTAATGCAGGATAGTATTGATATAAATTATCATTCCAGTGTTATTTCTATTCAAAGAAAATATTAATATCTTAATTATTGAAATGAAGTTTGAATGAATTTCTATCAAGAAGAAAGTAAGTCTGATTTTAATTCAAATTAAAATCAAATTGAAAGAAAAATTGGATTTCTGAAAAATGCTTCAGTATTCTTTTGATCTGATTTGGTTATTGAGAGAGTGTATAAAAAATACCAAAAATTCTCAAATTTCATATTTAGGTCCCACTTGGAAATTGGCAGGATAAATAATTTTAAAAATGCCTTTTCCTGCTTCCATTTCTATCATGATTATGCACAATTATTAAGGTTTTCCTTTTGGTATTGATGTTTTCAGCTTATCATTAGTAAAGATTATTCTTCAAATTGTCGCTATTTAGTACATGGATTTGGAAATTTAATTTAATATAATGTTAAAATGAATATTTAAAAAAAAGAGACAAAATCCTTGTAAAGAAAGACACTGATTGTTTTCTTACATATTTTAGGGAACCACAGACTTCAAGAAAAAAAGAATTGATAGCCATGAAAACATGGTGATCTTACTTCTTGAAGGATGGCATTCCCATGGTAACTCAGTGGTTGAATGATGACGTTCCCATGGTAACTCAGTGGTTGAAGGATGTTCCCATGGTAACTTGGTGGTTGAAGGATGTTCCGATGGTAACTTGGTGGTTTCATTGCTGACTGAGTGATTGAAGGATGACATTGCCATGGTAACCTGGTGGTTGAAGGATGTTCCCAATGGTAACTTGGTGGTTGAAGGATGTTCCCATGGTAACTTGGTGGTTGAAGGATGTTCCGATGGTAACTTGGTGGTTTCACTGCTGATTGAGTGATTGAAGGATGACATTGCCATGGTAACTCAATGGTTGAAGGATGTTCCCATGGTAACTTGGTGGTTTCACGGCTGACTCAGTGATTGAAGGATGACATTCCCATGGTAACTTGGTGGTTTCACGGCTGACTCAGTAATTCAAGGATGATGTTCCCATGGTAACTTGGTGGTTTCACGGCTGACTCAGTGATTAAAGGAAGATGTTCCCATGGTAACTTGGTGGTTTCACAGCTGACTCAGTGATTGAAGGATGACGTTCCCATGGTAACTTGGTGGTTTCACGGCTGACTCAGTGATTGAAGGATGATGTTCCCATCGCAACTTGGCGGTTTCACGGCTGACTCAGTGATTGAAGGATGATGTTCCCATGGTAACTTGGTGGTTTCACGGCTGACTCCGTGATTGAAGGATGATGTTTCCATGGAGTTGCTATGGTGTTGATCATCAAAGAAGCTGCATGTCATCAATGCTGATGTATTCACAGGTACATGAAACGTGATCACAGCACAACAAAAGTTTACTATAGTCCAAAAGTCAAGCCACATTTCTACTTTTTATAGAACTTCAAAAATCTGTTAAAGTTATGTCATTTTGTTTATGGTCATATAAGGACAATAATATTGTAGGTTTAAGGCCTCTTTAAAGAATTAGAATATTTTAAGTTATTATCAGTGGTGATGCAGAAAATTTCAAACATGAGGACCAGTGGTTATGCCTCCTGCGTTATAGTTGAGGGTTTCGAATCAAATTCCCATCTTGGGAATATTTCTTTGATGAAAAAATATTTTTTAACAAAGACATATTTCTTTCTGAAAATAATGTGTGTGCGATGTGTCTTTAAAGATTAATTTTCTTTTACAGACTACAAAATGAGGAAAAGTAACAACGATGCCTCTCACTACCAGGATTGTGCTGTCAACTTGATTGTGAAATCAAGTCCATGTGAAAATTTAGGACTAGCTAAAAGGTCTTATGCTAAACCCAGCGCCATATTGACGGACAGTTCAAGTCTTCTCCAACACTCACACAGATTTCTCCAGTCTGCTTGTGTTTTCAGCTTGTCACGTGTGTAGAAAAATTAATCCATCAGACTTCTGATCTCCTGATGTATAATGATCAACACAGTACAGGCCCCTGAGCTGTCTGGTTAAGTAATAATCAATACAGTACAGGCACCTGTCTGGTTAAGTAATAATCAACACAGTAAAGGCCCCTAAGCTGTCTGGTTAAGTAATAATCAACACAGTACAGGCCCCTAAGCTGTCTGGTTAAGTAATAATCAACACAGTACAGGCCCCTCTCTGGTTAAGTAATAATCAAAACAGTACAGGCCCCTGTCTGGTTAAGTAATAATCAACACAGTACAGGCCCCTGTCTGGTTATAAGTAATAATCAACACAGAACAGGCCCCTGTCTGGTTAAGTAATAATCAATACAGTACAGGCCCCTGTCTGGTTATAAGTAATAATCAACACAGTACAGGCCCCTGGTTGGTTAAGTAATAATCAACACAGTACAGGCCCCTGTCTGGTTAAGTAATAATCAGTACAGTACAGGCCCCTGTCTGGTTAAGTAATAATCAACGCATCTTGTTATCTTTTGTATAGAAGTAATGATCAGCATACAATGTCACCTGTCGAAGGTACCAGATCATGAAACATAATATCAAAATAACTCATAATTGTATTAAAGATCCCTGTTCCACTGCACTGTTTTTATGAGCTCATCTGGCCCGAACGGCCAAGTGAGCTTATGCCATGGTGCAGCGTCCGTCGTCCGTCTGTCCGGCGTCAATATTTTACTTTAAACAACAACTTCTTAATAACCAAAAGGCCTAGGGTGATGATATTTGGCCAAAAGCAAACTAGAATGAAGGGCTACCAAGTTTGTTCAAATAAATGACCTTCACCTATTTTCAAGGTCACAGGGGTCAAATATGTTAAAAACTTTAAACAACTTCTTCTGAATAACCAAAATGTCCAGAGTGATGATTTTTGGCAAGTAACATGCTGGGATGAAGGGCTACCAAGTTTGTTCAAATGAATGACCTTTACTTATATTCAAGGTCACAGGGGTCAAATATGTTCAACACCTTTAAACAACTTCTTCTCAATAACCAAAAGGCCTAGGATGATGCTATTTGGCCAGTAGCATGCTGTGATGAAGGAATACCAAGTTTGTTCGAATGAATGACCTTGACTTATATTCAAGGTCACATGGGTCAAATATGTTTAAAACCTTTAAACAACTTCTTCTGAATAACCAAGAGGCTTAGGATAATGATATTTGGCCAGTAGTATGCTGGAAAGAAGGTATACCAAGTTTTTTTAAATGAATGACCTTGACTTATATTCAAGGTCACAGGGGTCAAATATGTTAAAAACCTTTGAACAACTTCTCAATAACCAAAAGGCCTATGATGATGCTATTTGGCCAGTAGTATGCTGTGATGAAAGGCTACCAAGTTTGTTCAAATGAATGACCTTCGTCCATTTTCAAGGTCACAGGGGTCAATTGTCTTAAATCTTTATACAACTTCTTCTGAACAACAAAGAGGCCAAGGCTAATAATATTTGGCCAGTAACATGCTAGAATGAAGGGCTACCAGGTTTGTTCAAATGAATGACCTTTACTTATATTCAAGGTCACAGGGGTCAAATATGTTCAACACCTTTAAACAACTTCTTCTCAATAACCAAAAGGCCTAGGATGATGCTATTTGGCCAGTAGCATGCTGTGATGAAGGAATACCAAGTTTGTTCGAATGAATGACCTTGACTTATATTCAAGGTCACATGGGTCAAATATGTTTAAAACCTTTAAACAACTTCTTCTGAATAACCAAGAGGCTTAGGATAATGATATTTGGCCAGTAGTATGCTGGAAAGAAGGTATACCAAGTTTTTTTAAATGAATGACCTTGACTTATATTCAAGGTCACAGGGGTCAAATATGTTAAAAACCTTTGAACAACTTCTTTTGAATATTTAAGAGGCATAGGGTTGCGATATTTTGCCAGTAGCATGCTGTGATTAGGGGNAAATCTTTATACAACTTCTTCTGAACAAAGAGACCAAGGCTAATGATATTTGGCCAGTAACATGCTAGAATGAAGGGCTACCAAGTTTGTTCAAATGAATGACCTTTACCTATATTCAAGGTCACAGGGGTCAAATATGTTAAACAACTTCTTCTCAATTACCAAAAGGCCGATGATGATGCTATTTGGCCAGTAGCATGCTGTGATAAAGGGCTACCAAGTTTGTTCGAATGAATGACCTTGACTTTTATTCAAGGTCACAGGGGTCAAATATGTTAAAAACCTTTAAACAACTTCTTCTGAATAACTAAGAGGCCTAGGATAATGATATTTGGCCAGTAATATGCCAGGATGAAGGGCTACCAAGTTTGTTCAAATGAATGACCTTTACTTATTTTCAAGGTCACAGGAGTTAAATATTTTTAAAACCTTTAAACAACTTCTTCTCAATAACCGAAAGTCTTAGGATGATGATATTTGGCCAGTAGCATGCTGGGATATAGGGCAACCAAGTTTATTCAAATGATTGACCTTTACATATATTCAAGGACACAGGGGCCGATGATATTTGGACTTTAACAGGCTGGGATGAAGGGCTACCAATTTTGTCAAAATGAATGACCTTCACCCATATTCAAGGTCACAGTGGTCAATATATGTTTAAATCTTTAAATGACTTGTTTTGTATAACCAATAGGTCCAGGGTTATGATATTTTGCCAAAAGCATGCTGGGTTGGAAGACTTTAAACTCTGTTCAACCTAATGTCCTTGCTCGACATTCAAGGTCACAGGCGTAGATCTTTTAAAGTTTAAATCTTTTAATAGGCTCTTATGAATCAAACACTGATATTCTTCCTGTAGCTGCATTTTAGTCCACTTTTAAGATTACAAGTGTGAGATTAATACCAGGTGAGTGATTCAGGCCCATTGGGCCTCTTGTTTCTTATATACAGTAACCTCCCCTTAAATTGGTTTTGGATATAACTGTATTACACTTCGTGCAGGATGCTCCCGGGTACCTCAGTTGATTAGAGTGATAGTATTACAACAAGTCTAAGGTTCGAATCCCGGTCTCGCTCTACAGTAATTTATACACTCGGAACACTTATTGATTTATGTGTTATTTCATCTTTATTATTTTTCGATAAAAGTCCCCCAAGGTATGGTTTTCTTTCCGAAACAATTTATAATCATGCGTATGTACAGTTTTGGCGGTGGTGGTACGGGGATCCTTAACATAAATATGCTATCCTGAACTTCAAGTATAACACTAATTTTAGAAAATAGTTTTACATGATTTGAAAATAAAATTAAATTGAAATTAAAGTTTTGACTTCTATGAATTTTATTTACATAAAACCAGACATGCATGTGTTAGACATGCTCACTTGGATGCAAGTTGGTTAATAAAACTATTACATAAAACAAAATTGTCATTGATTTTCTTCTTTCTACCTTGGGGTTAAAACAGAAAAATCTCAACCATACTCCTAAAGTGGTGAATGCTTACTTTTCTCCCACTTTAAATACAAGCGGTTATTACATAAATGGATTTCGTATCTGCTATTGTTGACGTGACGTCATACACTTGTTACAGACCCTGGACCATTTTTCTTGTCCGTTTAAACGCAAACGCAACGGAAACGCAATGGAAATTCAACGCAAACGCACACAAACAGTTTAATTAAACACGCTCCTAAAACGCCGTTCATAGTAGAATGGTTCTTCGACATCAACAATACATATGGATACGTCTAGTGGGTAGTTTATATTTTTAGTCTCATATTCTGAATTTGTTGCTAAAAAATATTTAATCAATTTGTCGAAAAATAATTAACAACCCAAACTAAATTACGTACGTGTAATTGCTTGTTTTTAGGTCACCTGAGCTTTAGCTATCCGTCTTCGTCCGTCGTCGTCCGTTAACATTTTTCATTTTCAACTTAAGCTGAAATACTGGCAAAGGCATTAATATTTCAGGGGAAGGTTACTGACATCTCCCTGACCAAGTGTTGTTATTTTTCGGGTCAGTCAGAAATCCAATATGGCCACCAAGGCCGCCATTTTGAAAAACTATTTCAAATATAAGTCAAGTTCTGCTTGGCCGATTGAACTGAAACTTAGTAGGAATGATCGACTCATGGTCCTGACAAAGTGTTGTTATTTTTTGGGTCGATCAGAAATCCAATATGGCCACCATGGCCGCCATTTTGAAAAACTATTTTAAACTTAAATTCAAGTTCTGTTAGGACGATTAAACTGAAACTTTGTAGGAATGATCGACTCATGGTCCTGAAAAAGTGTTGTTATTTTGCGGGTTTATCAGAAATTCAATATGGCTGACACGGCCGCCATTTTGAAAACCTGTTTCAAACTTAAAAACAAGTTCTAATAGGCTGATCTAACTGAAATCGGTCTAGGAAAGATCAGCTCATGGTCCTGACAAACTTAAGTTAACGTTATACTTAACAATTTTTTACTCAAATTGGTACATATTTCAACAACAAAAATAAATACTGTAGGACTCAGGTGACCGTTAAGGCCCATGGGCCTCTTGTTATTTAAACTAGGCGATAGCAAATGTCCAAAAGGATATAAAATATGAAACTTGTGTTTGGAAAATATTGGATATGAATATCATCAAATTTATAAAACAAGTGAAGTTATGTGTTTGCATAGAGTATTATTCCTGTATTATCTTAAAAATCCAACTAAAATGCTGCAAGCGGATTCCGTGTGATTATTGTTTTCTCTTAAAATCGTTCTTCTCTGCTTATATCTCGAACAGGTATAATTCTTATGATATTCTCTTTAGTGGTATTATTTGATAATTATAATCGGTATTTATATGAATGATATTGAAGCCGGAGCGTTAGTTATAGGTATCTTATCTATACATCTTACAACACAACATACATGTGTTCATTCTATGCACCCTGTTAGGCTTAATCATATTTTTTGCTGTACCCACAGACTTAGATAATCTAATTCCGTGCTGTACCTCAAGTTACACATTTTCATTTGTCCGAGTGATGAAAACGTAATCTGAAATCTGAATTACTTATGTCATTCCCTCCTTAAAACAGCCTTGAACCAAAGTTTTTTAGCGCACCTGGCCCAAAGGGCCATGTGAGCTTATCCCATGGTGCAGCGTCCGGCGTCCGGCGTCCGGCAACTTTTTCCTTTAAAATGCTACTTGTCCTGAATGGCTCAGAGGATTTTGACCAAATTTGGTCAGGAGCATCATTGGCCAAAGGGTTCTCAGTTTTGTATAAACAGAGGGTATAACCCCCCTGGGGGCAGAGGGGCGGGGCCAAATAGGGGGAAAATAGGTAAATCTTTAAAAAT